TGGAACAGCGCAATGGTCTACTTGAAAATTACTTACTAGCCTTTTACTACTATTAATTACTACAAAAAATGAGTATTAAATTAAATAATTAATACTATACATCTACAAATGAATATTATTAGGAATTAAATATAGTAGTAGTAGTAATCTTAATCCCCATAAAAAGAAAAAGAGAAGTATGACAGCCTTATCAAAGGACATCCGTAAACAAAAATAAAAGTTGCCAGCTCTGCATTTATATTTATAGAGATTTTCGACTCTCTTTTTTTCTTCTAATTTCTCATCTCAGACACCCAAGGCTTGTAAATATTCATTTATTTCATTCATGTATTATATATATTAGTCTTAAATTAAATATAGGGCTATTGTTTGTCACACCACCAACAAAAAAAAAAAAGAGATTACTTTATATGCTTATAATAGTACAATAAATATGGTGGCTTAAACAAAAGTTTGGCTGGCTTGATAAATACATCTACCTTTCAAAAGACGATTTTACCCCTCGATCCTTGCTGTCTCTGACTACGACGAGGGTTTGAAATCTCATTTCTACGTGGCATTTTTCTAGGATTAGTTTTTGATTTTTCTCATATTTAAGTTGGTCAAATAGTTTTAACCAAAAACTCCAAAAAGTCAGTGATCTGTTGACATATTTTTTCATTCATCAAATTCTCTTTTTTTTTATTTCTTTCTTAAATTCTATTTTATTTGTTGAATACTGAATAGATTAACTTTCTAAAATGTAAAATTTGTTTTTTTTTTCCTTCTTCTAGAAAATAACTTCTTTCGGATTTTTATTTTGGTTATATGTAAACTATATATACACACTAAATTGTAAGATCTTAAGAAATTCCAATACACAAAAAATTAAAATCAATGGAGTCGGCCAATTTAATGCGGGGACTTTTTTACAACGACCCTAAAAAGTGGGTTTGATAAATGAAAAATATGTATATACTAGTAATAAAGATAAAATAGTAACATGTCGTGGCGCATTGAATAATATCCTACCAAGGTTTAGTGTTTTAAATTTCTAATATGATAGCTTTGCTTATGGCTAGTGTGTGTATAGCCCTGTAAACTTAAAATTTATAAGAATTAATTTTTGTTGATAGAGTAACATTTTGGGAACATGAGAGTGAACGTGCTTGAATCTGCGTGCCTTGACATTTTTGAGCTCAAAAATAATTATACCATAAACTACTAATTGCACGTCAGAACCCTTATTTATTAGTATATTAGTACTAATTAACATTCCAGTACCTTTAATTTACGCATACACTCCACAGATGCATTGTATAACATATATATATTTTCATAATTCGTTTCCTTTAGTTAGACGACGCAATAATACGAAAGTTGATGTATTATTAATTGTTCTAACTTATATATTTAGCAATAATATTAAGTCCATCAATGTAGGAAAAATAAGTCTAATTAGTTTAGTTTTTGGAACAGTGTGAAGTGTGATCAAAGGAAATAATTCAAAGTCAACTATTTTAGACTATATGTAATTTTCTTCAACGACAAGTAGCCGTGAAGACACGGGAGTGAAGAGAGAGACTCGTGAGATGAACAGAAGCAGCAGAAGAAGAAGAAGAAGATCAATGTCATTATCTCTGGGAAATTAATAATTTCGTTTTATTAATCAAGGTTTAATCTCAATCCCATTTTATTTGATTCTTTTTTTTCTTCTTCTCATTTTCCATTTTCATTCTTTGCTTCTTCCTTTTCTATTTATCACGAGATCTGTCTTCTTCCTTTTTTTTTTCCTTCTTTTCTCTTCTCTCTCTCTCTTCTTTCTGGACAGCAGTACTTGTTTCTTCTGTCCGGCGTTAAAAGCTTCGGTAAGAAGAAGAAGAAGAAGAAGAAAAAGAAGAAGAAAGAAAGAAAGCTGAGGGAAGCCACTTAGATTCAAGTACGAGGAGAGGAAGGAAGGAGTGTGATGTCTCATTCTAGAAGGCTTTCGTTAGAACCTGCCATAGATTCAATCACTGGTAGATTCCGTGATTTACAGAGACATGATGATGACGTCAACAAACCTGACTTCAGAGAACTCGATCTGGGTTCTCCTGTCTCTACCTTAATGCCACGTGGCTCTGCTTCTTCTTCTGCCGCTGCTACTCCCACTAGCAGCTCCGGCTCCTCTGGCTCTGCCTCTGGCAAACCGTCGGTGAGTTCTCAGATGGGCAAGCGTTTGGATAACGGCTACAAGAGTCACTCCGGTGAGATTTCTAGCCCCGGATCCGGAATGCCGACCACCCGTCTTCTTAAACCGGGTCATAGAAGATCTTCTTCCACCGGTACGCCGTTGATCTTCTCTGGCTCTAGCTTCACCTCGGCCACGACTCACAGCTCCCCGCAAGGAGGTGGTAGTGGCGCTACGTCTGCAGTGTCTCCCAGTCCCGCCGTTTTGCCTGCCGGAAACATTTGTCCGTCCGGTCGGATCTTGAAAACCGGAATGGCGAGCCGGACCTCAAGTAGGACTGAGACTCTTTGCACAGGGACTGGAAATTACGGACACGGAAACGTTGTTCGCAGTGGCGGAGGTGGTGGAAGCGGCGGAAAGCCGGTGAGAGCGGCGGAGAACGGCGAAAATCCGGAGGAGTTGAAGAGATTGGGGAATGATATGTACAGGAGAGGGAGGTTCTCTGAAGCTCTATCGCTTTACGACAGAGCAATTTTGATTTCACCGGAAAATGCGGCTTATAGAAGCAACCGTGCGGCGGCTCTAACGGCGTTAAGACGGTTAGGTGAAGCCGTTAAAGAATGTCTTGAAGCTGTTAGGCTTGATCCTTCTTACTCTAGAGCTCACCAAAGACTAGCTTCTCTGTATCTCAGGTAATCTTGAGATTTTTCCTCTTTTTTTTTGGCTGCGTTGTCGTTGTGTGTTTAGTTTAAAGATTGAGAATTGAAATGATGGATTGAATTGTTGCTTTAAGACTGGGCGAAGCTGAGAATGCAAGACGTCATATCTGTTTTCCCGGGCAATGCCCGGATCAAGCTGATCTCCAAAGGCTGCAGACGCTGGAGAAGCATCTGCGGCGATGCTGGGAGGCTCGAAAGATTGGCGATTGGAAAACCGCGATTAAAGAAACAGATGCAGCCATTGCAAACGGCGCTGATTCGTCTCCCCAGGTGAGAGATCATTGCCATGAGATCGACGTTTTCTTGGATTTGCTTGTAAAGATTTTTTTTAACTAATGGTGATATATATGTTTTGATTGGGTTGGACAGCTTGTAGCTTGTAAAGCTGAAGCCTTTTTGCGTCTTAGCCAAATAGAGGATTCAGATTTTTGTATATCTTGCATCCCAAGACTGGATCATCATCATAAACAGTCTCATCTGCAAGCTAAACTCTTTGGTACGGTAGCTGAAGCATATGTGCTCTGTGTCCAAGCTCAAGTTGATATGGCATTAGGAAGGTGAGCTTTCGAAACTCGGAAAAGTTTTGTTCGTTGCTTGTATGATTTTCTCGGCCGGTGAGTGAGTAAATATGATAGGTTTGTTGCAGATTTGAGAATGCGGTTGTAAAGGCAGAGAGAGCTGCAATGCTTGATCAGACCAATCCCGAGGTAGCATCTATTTTAAACAATGTGAAGATGGTTGTGAGGGCACGTACTTGTGGTAATGAGCTATTCAGTTCGGGGAGATTCTCGGAAGCGAGTTTAGCTTATGGAGACGGTCTCAAGCACGATGACTCCAATTCGGTTTTGTTCTGCAACAGAGCAGCATGTTGGTATAAACTCGGTTTGTGGGAGAAATCTGTTGAAGATTGTAATCATGCGCTGAAAATCCAGCCTAGTTATATCAAGGCACTTCTACGAAGAGCTACTTCATATGGAAAGGTGGGATTATAACTCAATATAGTCCAGTTATTGACTAAATTTGATAGTGTATTTGAATGACAATGTTTGTTGAAATATAGCTTGGGCGATGGGAGGATGCGGTTAGAGATTATGAGTTCTTGAGAAGGGAACTTCCGGGAGACAGCGAAGTTGCAGAGTCTCTAGAGAGAGCCAAAACCGCGCTAATGAACAGAAGCCAAGAATCTAAAAGCTTAGGATTCAACAACGAAGTTGAAGCGGTTTCGACTTTGGATAAGTTCAAGAGCTCGGTATCAGTTCCCGGTAAGTTTAAACAGAAATACCAAATGTCTGAAAGGTTGAGATATTGTATGCCTTGCTCAAGTGAAAACTTTTCTTCAGGTGTCTCTGTGTTTCATTTCAAGTCATCATCAAACCGACAATGCGAAGAAATCTCTCCATTCATCAACACTTTATGTCTCCGGTATCCATTAGTACATTTCTTCAAGGTAAGAACAACCTTCCAAATACTCCTTTCTTGATCACAGTTTTGTCTACACTTATATATATAGTCTCAGTGTTCTAACCGAGAAAATGAAATGTTATTAGGTGGATGTGGAGGAGAGCATGGCGTTGGCGAAGGCAGAGAGTATCAGAAAAGTTCCGACATTTAAAATGTACAAGAATGGAGATAAAGTGAAGGAGATGGTTTGTCCGAGCCATCAGTCTCTAGAGGACTCTATAAAGCATTTCCTCTTATAATTGAAAACGCCCTATCGTCATTCTCTGCTTCCCTATGATTCGATCAGAAGAGCCTATTTAAAGACTTAGAAAGCAATCTTTGTGAAAGATGGGAAAGAGCTATTATATCAAATTCAACAAACTATTCATTCTTTCTTCTATTTTTGATTCTAATTCTTTTTTCTTTTTTTCTTTTTTTTTGGTGGAGTTTGACTCTGCTGGCTTTGGCTATATTACATATGAGTAAATGTTGGGAAGGATTCAAGAAATGCAAGCTTCATTATCTATTTCCCCTTAGACTTGTGAATGCTAGATTAATACCATTACAGACCAAAGAGCTATAAAAGAAACTGAACATAGTTTTTTTTTTCTCTTTGGTGTGGTTGATACAATAAGCGGCCACAACATGAATCAGAGATTGGAAATGGAGAAAAAAAAAAGGTAGAGCGTACGTAAACCAAACAGCTTGTCTCTGAACAGTTCAGAGATGAAGGGATATATGATTGAATCCGTGAGGACATATAGTAAGACGACAGTACTGAAAAATAAATTACAAATAAGCAGTGTCCTGAGACAGGCATCAAAATACATTCAAACCAGGAGGTTTGGGACTAATAATAATACAGGAAACAGAGGAACTCTAAGTTTCGTTATTATTCACCGCACATTCAGTTGTTCTTGAAACATGTTGACCAGTGCTGCTGCTGCGGGAGTACACATCAGATCACTGCATCAAGAGCAAAGTTATCTTGTATCAGAACTGACTTATTCGATTCACTCCAAGGAAAGGAATCTTTTCTACTTTACCTCTGCTACATCTCCACCAGCTTTGGTAGTAGAACCATTAGTCTTAATGGAATCATCGGCTGCATATATAGGCAAAATAAACATTTGAAATCCGCAGCGAAGTATGAATCATTATGAGACAGGGAATCATTTTCTGGATGCTATTTCAACATTCTATCATCAAGAATGTCCATGGAAATGCTTAAAATGTCTTATAGATTCATTGGTTTCCAACCAAAACAAAACACCACACTTGAGTAATGACTCAATACACCTAGAATGGAACTTTGTAAGACATCAAAACATCATAATTTAAGAGATTTCTTAGGCCCAGAATGATCATTACCTCCTTCTTCTGGGATGTCAGAAGTCCACAAGGTCAGATTGTCCCTAAGGAGTTGCATGATTAAGGTGCTATCTTTGTAAGATTCTTCATTCAGTGTGTCAAGCTCTGAGATAGCATCATCAAACGCCTGCTTAGCAAGGTGACATGCCCTGAAGAGAAAAGATAAATATAAAAAAAAACAATCTCAAATCTCCAAAAAAAATGAGTCTTTTCTTTTCTTAGTATAATAAACAAACCCAAAACCTTTCAGGTGCGTTCATGATCTCGTAGTAGAAGACAGAGAAATTCAAAGCCAGACCCAATCTGATAGGATGTGTTGGTGGAAGTTTAGACTCAGCAGCAGTAGTAGCAATCTACAAAGGAACCAAAAAACTCAACAGAGAAAATCAAGTGATCAATAAATAAAACTATAAATCACAAGTACAACACCTCATAGGCTTTCAAAGACTGATCAGCAGCCTCTTTCCTCTCATTCCCTGATTTGAATTCTGCAAGGTAGCGGTAATAGTCACCTTTCCTGCAAAAAAAAAAACAAAAAAAAATCTTCAGATACATAACCTAAAACCTTAAATTTGTAAAGAGCATCATAGAGAGCTTACATCTTGTTGAAGAAGACAGTTGATTCACCCTCAGAAGCCGATGGAATCAGATGCTCATCTAACACAGACATTATATCAATGCATATGTCTGAAAGCTCTAACTCAACCTTCTCCATATAATCTTTGATCCTCTTTACATTAACATCATTCCCTTTCACAGCTTCTTTCTGTTCAATCGAAGAGAAGATCCTCCAGGAAGCTCTCCTAGAACCAATCACGTTCTTGTATCCTACAGAGAGCAAGTTCCTCTCTTCCACGGTCAGATCAACGTTCAATTTCGCAACATTTTTCATTGATTCCACCATCTCTGTAGAAAAGATTTCACATTTTCAATACCCGTCATGAAAAAATCGAGACTTTCAATCCCAAAAATCGAAAAAATCCCAATCAAACCACTGAATTAGAATTACAAAGATCAAACCAAACGACTAAAAACCCTTCCGATAAAAAAAAAATCAAAATCCAGTAAATAAAACAGGAATCGAGCTAAAGCAGCTATGAAAAAAAAGACCTGACAACGAGAAACACAGAGAACCCATTTGAAAAGATAAGAAGATTCTTTTACCTTCATAACGCTCAGCTTGCTCAGAAAGCTTAGCGAGGTAGACGAAAGCGTCACGCTCTTTCCCAGAAGCCATGTCCGATCACTCAAGATTTTAAAAGTATCAAATTCCAAAAGCTATATTTTTTTTCCCCAACTGATCCGAGTCAGTGTATATCTCTAGACGATCACTGTTCTTTTGTGTGTTTTTTTTTTCTCCCAGACCTTAGAGAGAGAGAGAGAGAAATGTTTGAGACGCGCGTAGGGACAGAAGCGTAATTAACGCGGGGGTAATTAGAACACAAAGGTCTGTGTCAGTAAGTGATTTTATTCATTATTTTATTCCTCGTGGGATCCATTGGTTCTTTCACTATCCAACCATATCATGCCACGTCATCACTCTCTATCCACCACACCACTCATTTTTTTAGTACTTTATCTTCCCATCATCTAAATTCTATATTTCTTCCTATTCAAATAATATATTAATCTTCTACTTTTTTCAATCATATGTAAATAGGAATAATTAATCTTCTATTTTTTTCAATCAAACGTAAAAAGGATTAATTGATCTTCTACTGTATTTTTCAGCCAATCTACAATAGTAAAAAAAACTGCATCTTATAAAAAATAAGAAAATACACATACGGTATATTGAAGTTTACGAATTTTTTGGTCATCTAGATATTTAACAAATCTTAACCTTTTTGTTTTTGGTGAAAATAACTTTTCAAATTTTATTTTTTTACTAATAGTTTTTTTTGGTAAGTTTATAATACTATTTTACTAGAGTAATAAATTAATATTGATAATTTCACGGGTATAGAGTAATAAATTAATATTGATAATCTAGCTAGATTACTTTTTAAATTTCATTTCAGAAATTATGTATATTTTAGAGATATAAAAATTGAACAAGAGAATAATATAAGAAATTTATATTGGCTTTGTTGAGTGTTGGGGATCTGGGCTTTCCTTCTTTGGGTAAGCCTCAGGGATCGGTCTCTGGTCGTGTATGCCGTCAGATTCGCAGATCTCCCCTTCTCCAGTCGGTCGCTTGCTTGTTTTTCTGGTTCTGGTTTCGTCAGGTGAGTAGATCTCTGGGTTGCGCTTAATTGTAGGTCTTGGGGTGCAGAGAAAGGCAGATGTGAGCAAGGTTGTGTATCCGGCAGCGGTGGGTAGGTTTCCTCCATCGATGCAGCTGTGGCGGTGTTGAATCATTGGAGGGTCGAGTAGAACCAGTCTAGGGATTACTTTTGGTAGAAGACGCCATTAGTTCCCTTTGGTGTTCTCTCACGGCTCAAAGTTCCAATGGCCGCTACGGTTTGCGGCGGAAGTCGGTGGTAGGATTGGTTGGTTTTGCTGCTTGCTTGGGGTTAACAGTAGATCCTTTTGGGTCTTAGATGGCAGTTGCGGAGGTTCGATCTTGAGAGTTTAGCTTGAGCAACTTTGGTCTCTTTGATTGCCGCTTCTGTTTCCTCCGGCCAAATTGTTTGCTCCTTGCTCGGAAATAACAAGCATCTACAGATCTGGAAGTGGGGGTTAGCTCTGAGTATGGCTTGGTTGCTAGGCATGGGACCGCCATCGTAGAGCCTGTTGTCTGTGGTTTGGACAGGTCGGGAGTTTTGTTCTAGGTCAGGTAAATCTCGGAAGTGGAACCGGCGTCGGATTTTGAATGCTTCTGGCAATGTCTACACTTCACGGTCTCTACCGCAAAGGAGTCAAACTCGCATTCGCCGGATTTACTGTTCAAGCCATTGCCTCAGGTCTTCAGCAGGAGCAGATCCCATTTTCGGTGATGGGCCTAGATGTTTTGTTATTTCCATTTTGTATCTGTTTTTTTTCTTTGTATTTTCTCAAGACCTGGCCCAATTTTTAAATTGGGATGACCCATTAATAAAATTGGTAGTTAAAAAATATATATAAGAAATTTATCATATACTCTCATGAAAAAGCGTACAGAAGAGGGAGTCGGAGAGATTTCATGACATCATTAGGATAAACATAATAACATTACATAGCAATAGCATAGATTTAGGGAACGGTTGAAAGACGGTTTAAACTTGCTTAACCGGTGTTTTGCATACCGGCAGCGATACCCTTCATGGTGAGGATAACTGTGTCTTCAAGTCCAGGTGCGTACTCGCTCTTCGGATTGAGCTTCACGAGCTCAGCCGCTGGACTAGACTCCATGTAGTCCTTTGAAAGATGTGGCCGGACTTTGACGTGGAAGCTTGGGTCACGGATCTGCTTTAGTGTGTAGGCTTGGCACACGTTCAGTGTCGTGATGTATGGGTCACGTAGCTGCAGCCTTTGCCTCAAGTAAGGGTCACCTTCTAGAATGTCCTTGTGACCTGCGACCTGGAATGGTAAAGAAACATGCGGGTTAGTTTGCGTTTTAGGTGGTCTGTCCAACTGCTGCTCATGGTTGTAATGGCATCTACTGTCTGAAACTCGACTGTAACAGGATTTTAACATCTATAACGATTATCTATAGTGGATGTAAGTTACACCTGGAGGAGGAGGCGTCTGGTCTCTTGGTAGTTAACTCGAAGTTGTTCACCGAAAGGCTGAAGTTCTTCAGAGACTAGGAGGCGGTCGTACAGAGCTGCAATTCCTGGATCTCCTTTGGCGAAAACCATTTCAACTAGATCAATTGTGACACGGAAGAAAGGCCATTGGTTATACATCTCTTTGAGCATGTTCAGATTATTACTGTCCTTCTGTATCACACGTTTGAATGCCCCTCCAAAGCCTAGCCACACGGGTAAGTGAAACCTCGTCTGAGTCCACGCAAAGATCCACGGGATTGCACGCAGCGACTCTATTCCTCCGCTCGGTTTACGTTTTGATGGTCGGCTTCCTATGTTCATTCTTCCATACTCAAGCTCCGGTGTCGCCTGTAACACAAACCCGAACTCAAAGTTAAGACTTTCTTTAACTACAATTCTGTTTATGAAAGGAGTATATTGAGTTGGTTAAGAACTTACCAGACGGAAGTACTCAACAAAACGAGGCTCCTTAAAGACGACAGAACGGTATTCTTCAGTGGCTATTATAGCCATTTCATCCATGAGGACACGCCACTCAGGCTTAGGGGAAACTGGTGGATGCATCCCGTGCTCAAGTGTAGCAGCTGTGAAACGCTGAAGAGTTCTAAAGCATAAGTGCTCTTCTCCGAAAGACTGTTCGATAACTTCACCTTGAACTGTTACTCGTAATTGCCCATGAATGGTGTCCGGAGGCTGAGACAAAATAGCAAGATGGGTCGGTCCACCTCCTCGTCCTACAGTCCCACCTCTTCCATGGAACATTGTGAGCTTGACTCCATATTCTTTTGCCACCTTCACAAGCTCTTCTTGAGTCTTGTATAGCTGCCAAGCCGCAGAAAAGCGACCAGCATCTTTGCCCGAGTCAGAATACCCAATCATGACTTCTTGCTTCCCGTTGATCCGGTTTCTGTACCATTCTATGGAGAAGAGACGAGCTACTGAGGCAGGAGCGGATTCTAAATCTGCTAGCTTCTCAAACAACGGGACAACTCTCAGAGGATGAGTAATCCCGCACTCGCGTTGCAAGAGCTCAACAGCAAGGACATCTGATGGAGCAGTGGCCATTGAGATTATATAAGCACCAAAACTATCCGAAGGAAGCTCGGAAATGACTTTGAAAGTGTCCAACACATCTGCAACCTCTTCGGTTCTGGGGAGATCAGGTCCAAAGAGAGGGCGTTTTCCGCTTAGCTCAGATAAGAGCCACTCCTGTCTTTTATCCTCAGACCATTCTTTGTAAGATCCAATACCTAAGTGTGTTGTGATAGCATCCAAGACATCGGTGTGTCTGTCAGATTCTTGTCGGATATCAAGTTTCACAAGCGCCAGCCCAAATGTTGACACTTGGCGCAAGAAATCTAACAGGCTTCCATCAGCAATAGGTCTGTCGCCGCAATCACAGAGCGACCTGTAACAAAGCTCAAGTGGCTCCAAAAACTTTGGAAAGAAACAGAAACAACCAAAGGTTAAAAATTAAAGAATACAATAGGAAAAAAACATGAAACTACGTTGATCCATGTTTTGATTCTCTTTCCGTTTGGGATTTTTTGGTCTTAGAAAAATAGTTGCTACTTACCAAAATCAAATCAACTCAACTATGCATTGGTTTGTACAGTTTCAAAGTTAAATCAAATATGTTTTCAAAAGTATTTAAGTTTCAGATCTGGCCTAGAATCATATCATGAAAACATAAGTTTTAGTCTTTGGATTATCTGGCTTAAACATCTTTAGTTGATCTGCAATCAGCAAGAAAACCCACCTGATCCAAACTTGTGAAGACAGCATCTTCGGGAACGTCTGAAACTCCGCTTGACAATAACTGACGTGCACGTTCTCGTGTGTTGTACAGCTTGTCCCTCACATCTCCAAGAATAGCTCGGTAAGGCTCATTTGCAGGGATTTGTTTCCAAAATTCTACATCCATCCAAAAACCAATTATACATCCAGCAAAGTGTAACAAACTATTATAATCTAATATAGAAATTGTCGGAGAATGTAACATACCTATATAGTGTTTTGCATCCCTCTTAGCACACCTTTGATGTTCTGCACGGACCCGAAGTTCCTCATTGCAGCGCCACATAGACATCTGCAAAAAAAAAACACATATAAAACAGAAAGTAAGACCTCTGGCTCATGTTAACATTAGCAACCAAGAAAGTAAAAGCTGCAATGTGATATAACTTTTCCTCACCTCAAACATAAGATCTTCTATCTGGGAGAAGTAGAGATTAGCAGCCATCATTCTAGCTAATAAGCATACATCTCTCGTAACTTCAGGAGTTACTCGTGGATTTCCTAGATTCAGAAAAAAATTCCACTAATAAGAACCAATTCATGTTTTAAATGGTTCAAGAGCAGAAAAAAGTAAGAGAGTACCATCACGGTCTCCTCCCATCCATGAGGAGAATTGAATGAGAGGCGCATTGTAAGGAACACGCTCATTGATTCCAATGTTCTTTAAAGCCGTGTCAACACGTCTCAGGAATTTGGGAACTCCTTTCCAGATTGTCTCGTGGAAGTAGCTCATACCCGCTCTCATTTCATCTTGTGGTGTAGGAGGAGTTCTTCGGATTTCATCTGTCCGAAAAGCAGCTTGAATCTGGTGAAACAAAAACAGAGTTTTAGTAGAAATCATGCAAGACAAGCTTTCATGGACTTCTTCGTTTGCATATATACCTCTCGTTGAAGAGCTTCATCAAGTTC